AGAACACACGTCTAAAAATATGAGCCTGAAATAGCTCCAGTGTAGTCGTGCATACATATTTAAAGACATATTCTGGGATATTTTTACATTCACCACCAGCAACCGAGGCAGACGCACTGATGTATTGTGCATGAAGTTTATTTTTGCCTTTTTAGCCATAAAAAGAAGACAGAGTAAAGATAGAAAAGAGGTTATGAATATATGATAACTACTGTGATATATTTGTGTTGTGTTGAAGTGAAGAGAGATCACACAAGGCACTGGAACATACTATCTAAGAGTTTATAAGACATTCATGTAGGGATCTCAGCACTGAACGCCAAACCTCTGAGTCTGGAGCGTAATCTCCCCCATTCATTTTTCTCAGACTTTCAGGAAAAAAATCACAGTAAAAGTTTAAGGGCCAATCAACTCTGTGTAAACTAATGAGCACAAGGAATACAGTTTCAATTAAAATCTGTTTCTGAAACTTTATAAAGCACTGACTTATTCAAGTACCGTATTTTCCAGGCTATTAAGCACTCTGGATTATAAGGCGTTCCCAAAAGTTCCCAAACTAATGTTTCATGTTTGTAGAAATCTGTAGAAACAAAATGCATTTCTGTGGGATATAAAATTATAATCTCTGTGACACATGGGCGCACACACACACACAGCCCGTTCATTAAAATATCGTTTTCAGACCGTCCAATGTGACTGACATCGATATTAGGGCCGATACTTCGCCCATTAGGATCTCAGATACATTTGTCCTGTTGTAAAAGTAGGCGGGACTGTTTGAACATGTGAAGTGCAAAAGCAGTGGAAAACAGCAGAGGCAGGAGGTAAATATCACACATGAAAAACACATGAGAAAGGCTCTGAGTGGACAAGAGTCAGGGTCAAAGTCTGTCACATATGGACACAAGCACAGCTCTTCAACCTGCTCTAAATACAGTGGTGGTTTACTGCTGAAAATATCTTAAAAGTATTATGCTCAACTTTAATCCATGTTAGAATTCTGTAACCTGATGAAAAACAGACCTGGAGTTGTGTTTTGTTTCATTCACACATGTTTCACACTGGATTATTAGTCTGTCTAAATCTCCAAAGCTCAGAATGCAGAATGTTCCACCTTGTGATGTCATGAACCTCTTTGTACCTTTACTTAAGTCAAGATCGGCAATTCCCGGACTGAAATCATCAAAATGATTCTAGTGAATGTGTATAGAGTTTAAAAACACAGTGGAGCACTTCCTGTATTACAACATGACATCACAAGGTGGAACAGGGTGATTTCTTGAATGGAAATCTCAGTCTAAATGTTTTGTAAATGTTTGTGTGTAAACGAAACAAAACACAACTCCAGGTCTGTTTGTGATGAGGAAAGTATGGAAGATCATTTGTTTCATCAGATTTTGAATTTTAAATGCTGCTGAAATTCTCACTTTGAAATTTTTTACTCTGAAAAAGCATGTTTGAATTATTTTTATTATGAAATTTAGTTGTGTACATTTTCAAAGTGTTTAAAATTCAATATAAAAAAAATTACCTTTTAAATATTCAGCACAAATACTTTCAAATCCTTAAATTCAACTGTCAAAATTCAGAGTGTAAAATTCGCAGTGAAAAAAATTCACAGTAAAGATCCAAGATGCCAAGGCAGAAGCAATCGATCCAAAGTGATCCGATCTAATTTAATAACAAACAGTAAATGGTGGAGTGAAGTGAAGTGATCTGATTGGTCAGAATTAGCCTCATCGTAACCTCATCTATTGATTTGTTAAGTGTAAACCCCGCCACAGATGAGAACAGCCAATAGGAAGCAGCCTCTGTCCTCCTCACTCGCATGATCGACTGCTTCTGCCTTGGCATCTTGGATTTTTGCTGTGTAATTTTTCACTGCAAATTTTACATTCTGAATTTCGACTGTTGATTTTGAGGGTTTGAAAATATCTGTGATTTTTATTTATTTATTTTTTATGAAAGTAAACTTCAAAATTCAGCCACTAAAATTCAGAATTAACATCTTTTTTCAGAGTAAAAGTGAGAAATTCAGTAGTATTTGAAATTCTAAATCTGATGGAACAAATGATCTTCTATAGGAAACTGCATTAGAACATAGATCTGAAAATAATGGAGTATAGACATTTAAAAACATGCTATGAAATGATTTTTTAAACACATTGAACAAAAATATGTATGAAGCACTAAATGAAACAAAATCATAAGACATACATGCATTTTCACACAGTGCAGAAGATGGAGGATTAGAGATGAACTTTCCGTTATAGGAGACGTATTGTGCTTATTTGAAAGGCTTTTTGCTGTATTTTGTAGTTTTACAATCATGACATGTTACAAAACTGTCTGCTTGTGTTTTTCTCCATAACCTCGTTCACTTCCACCAGTAGAGGGCGCAGGGACCATGACAATCATTTAAAGGAATAGTCGTTTTTGGCGGGAGGCCTTATTGCTTTCTTACCGTTTTAAGTTGCGGTGATTAGACCTGTCAACATAACAATTTTTGATGTTTGAGATGTTGCTGACGAAAATATAGACGACAAAAAAAGATTCTACTAAAATGAACAGGTTTATTTACAGGTGCACTGTGTAACTTTTCGGTTGGGGTCCATCACCTGCTTGTTTCTATGGATATGTCACTGCTCTGTCTGGAATGTTCCACAGTGTGACATTAAACAGCTCTACTTTACATTTATTAAAATACAGGTGGTTTTATTTCTGAAAAAGATCTAGAAAAAAACAGGCGTTCTGACTGTGAGCGGGGTCGCCTCTCCAAAGATCTGACCTGTAACTTGATGATAGAAAGGTTTAATGCCATACTGTGAAACATTATTCACAGCTATTCAAGGAAGTTTAATTTCTGCTCTGTGAATGGGATGTTTTTAGTATCGATATCTACTCAAATGCTGCGCAAATTTAATTAGTTAATTTATTTTAGTAGGAAAAAACTGAGTCACTCAAAAAGTACAAAATAATTATAATATCAAAAAGTATAAAATAATTGTAATAGTCATAGGTGTAGGTCACATGTTCACAGTGGGCTGGACCACAGTCCCATGAACATGTGACCTACACCTATGACTTTAAATGTGCACTGTGATATGCATCTCGAGTTTGCCCTGATGACGCTGAAGGTCTGAAACGTATTGTGTGATTTTAACTTTATCTGCCATGTGCTATTAAAGGATTTTAATTATTTTGTACTTTTTGAGTGCCTCAGTTTTTTCCTACTTTGTATTTGAGCCTGGTCCCTACTGGGGATGGGCATGATTAATCGATTAATCAATAATTGATCATTAAGAATTTCATCAATTACGTTAATTTTAATCGACAAACCGAATGTATGTTGCTGTGTGTATCGTGACCAAACAGGTGTGTACATGTGTCTCTGCATCAGAAGGAGCGAGACACAAACAGTGGGTCAGTCTGCAACGAACCGAAGCACAAATGTGTATTTAACGATGATTTGTACAAGAAATTCCACGCTTTCCGTTGCGTTGGGGACAAGTGTGAGTCCATGTGCACAGTGTATAAAGCAGCACATATGTTTCGGTGTCCAGTGGGAAAAAGTTTTACCAGGTGAGAGTCGCTCAATGTCGATGACGAGTCCTCACCTCCCTCCCCCCGTACGGTGTCTTGGTTTTGACAAACACAAATATAGTCACCCTAACCTGTATTCCACTGACTCATGTCTTTTAATCCGACAGAAGTTGAACCACATCAGCAACACAAGAGCTGTAGTTTTATCTTTGCTTAGTTTATGCAAATTAGCGATGCGGTTTTAAGTTTTGTTTCTGTGAGAGTTGAACAAAACTGAATTAAACACATTATAATGTCAAACGGACTGATGTGGCTCTAGAGTGGTTATGGTTTATATGTTGTAAAGTTGAATTGATTTATGCAGATTAGTAGTGCAGATAGTAATAATAATGATGATAATTTTAATATAAAAATGTTAATGATTAATCGATAATCGATCGTTAATTCTTCTGACGATCGATTAAGAAAATTTCATCGAATGCCCATCCCTAGTCCCTACACTGAAGAGCGCCAAAAGGACAATTCTGCACAATTTTTGTATATCCTAGTAGCAATCCTGCCCCAAAGCATTACATAATCATGCATGTTTTAACAACTTATTGAATCCCCACCCTCTTATTTTACATTTATTTGCAGCATTTTACATTTGATACTTCCTATTGTCTGTGGATAAATGACAGACTTCAGCAGACAATAACTATACTGTAATCTTAGTGTTTGTTTCCCATCTATTTTTGATCTGCCTTAGGTTTATAGACAGTTTTTTTTTTTTTACTTGCTTATATTGTAATCTCACACCACTTGGTCGTACAAACTAATAATAATGTTAACAATGGCACAAAAGATTATCGTTTTTGATCGTACAAAATAAATCACATTGAGAATGAAAGAATGTAAAGATTTTTTTTTTTGCTTATGGTCGTATTAAGTAATAATAATGATAAAGAAGGCACAACATTATCGTTTATGATAGTATCAAAATAAAAGGTAATATTAAAGAAAAGCATGTCTTTAGTTAATTTAGTTTTAGTATCGATTAGGATCTGATTTTCGATACTTTTGAAAACCCAAGCCACTAGTACAAAGAAAAATTACCCACTGAACCCCAAAAATGCCTGTCCCATGTGTCTTTTATAGAGCAATAAGTGGATATTAGTGGTAATTTGTGTCTTTCAAAGCCTGATTATAGCATGATACGTCTCCTTTAATATCAGAGAGGGCAGCGTCTTGGAGCGTGCAGTGAAGGCTCCACCTCCGAACCCAACGCCGGCGAACCACAGCCGCACCCACTTACTTCAAGCGCAGCCCCAAAGCGTGCTGGGTATCGGGGAAGCATAGGAAGTGATCTGCGGTTAGAGAGCATGCAGAGTGAGGGAGGGGCGGCGGGTGCGGACAGGTGCAGACAGGTGCGGACAGGTGCGGACAGGTGAGAGCGGAGGACATGGAGCTGTGGTTACCGTGAGCGTCGAAGAACTCCTCGTCCGAGCTGTCGTCGGAGTCCCGCGCGATGCTCTGCATGCGCCACTCGGACAGGCTGTGGCGGGACGGGCTCACTGCAACAAAACAACACCTGTCATTACTCTCAATGAGTCAGTGTGATTTCTACCTGAGACCAGAGCACAGTGTTGGGGAGTAACAGATTACATGTACCTCCACAAAATATTTCAATAAATATCAAACCGTGAGAGGCATATCGTGAAAATATTGTATACAGAGAGTTTAATATTGTTATATCCCCACCAGATACAAGCTAAACACATTCAAATCAGGTTCAGCCATGATTGTAGTACTTTAGTAAAACAGTAAGAGACCGTCAACAGCTTTTCATCATGGAGACAGATTATTTTCATGCCAGTCCAATGAGGTTCATTTGGTCTTCCGAAAATGTATGTTATTAGGTTCTTTTTCAGACCAAGAGTTTGTTTTAGAGTTAGAGTTAGTTTTGACAGTTTGGACTGCTCCCTGCGATCTTCCTCGTGTCCACTCAACTGATTTACACAGGTTTTGGTGATGTTTCTGAGATAATAAACCGGGACGAGGGGGCTTTTTTACTCTCACACACCTGGGATACTGTCCTGAGGAAGTGGGACTGCAGGTGGCGCTGTCGTCCTGCCTTCTCTGGTAGGAAGGCAGCGCCAAAACCTGTTTAAATCAGCTGAGTGTCACGTCACAGTGTGATAGAAATTTAGATGGTAGAAAGATTTCTCTCAATCTGTCTTGTGTAAATGAATGTGATTTCTACCTGAAACCCAGACCAGTCATGAACATGTGTAAAGGTTCATCAGATACAACTGTCTCCTCCTTCAGGAAGCCCTTTGTTATTATCAACTGTTTGTTAATTTAGCACCAGCCTCTGAAACCAAAGTCACTCTGCTTTGATATGTATGTAACTTGTATTTCTGTATAAATACTCAGAGCTCAAATGCTCTGGGGGAGATACATACATACATATGGAGAGACTTGGGCAGATACTGGAGAGAGACTTGGAAGATGGGGCAAGATGTGGTTGGGACATATTTCTGGTGGAGAGAAGCTTTTGGGCTGTGGCCAGGGCAGGCCTAGGCCCTGTCCATATCTGCTGTAACAAGAATAAATCTTGGTCTATATTCCAAAAACTCATCGGACTTTGCAAATAGATTCATTATTTATCTTCAGGAGATATATAATTTTTTCCACGACAACAGCAACATCACATGACTCTGAGGAAGAGCGCTAGTGAGCAGTTGAAACTGTCAGGTATGAAAACAAACTCTTGGTCTGAAAAAACAACCTAGTAACATACTTTAATGCCATGCTGTGGAACATTTCAGGACAAGGAAAATATCCATACTGGGCTCAAAGCGAAATATGTTGAGTTGTTAAAAACAGTATTTAGTCACGATTTGACTTGTAGTCCCAGTGTTGTATCCTTGTGGTCGTGAGTATTTATACATGTGGATTTTGTGGTGTGGGCGTAAATAACCGGTGGTTGGAGGGGTCGATGAGCTCCAAATGGGCAAATGCATGTTCTGCTTTTCAATCTTTTCCAACTATGAGCAGATGATGTAACTTCTCCACAGCATTTGAGAAAGTAACAGTCTCCATTTGATGTATTCTGGTTTGTTCAGAGCAGAGCAGAGGAGTGAGTCCGTATGAAGACTTGGCTGAGAAACATCTCGGTTATTTCCATGCATGTGTTTGAGCCTCTCTCTTTCCCTTTTTAACCAGCGCTCTATGACAAAGAAATCTTGCACAAGCTCTCGGCCCCCACATGAGTGTTATATAAACATGGACAGACTCTTGGCTCGTGCACTGCCTCACGTGCACACCCCCACGTGCACGGCCCTGTCGCAGATGGAGCGTATGTCGAACGCCGAAGTGGGGCTCAGACCGCGGACCGCACACTGGCGCAAAACATGGTGGCTCTGGCAGAGGGGAAGACCATGACCTTCTCCGCTGTGACTAATCAGCCTGTTGTTATCGACAAAGTTACAAAAAGAATGCACCAACTTCAACATTCGACTCCGAAAATGTGTCTGTAGAATATTCCAGACTTTTATGAAAAACGAAAAAAGGCGAATGACTGAAAGTGTTTTTAGGCTGGAGTTCGCATTGATTCGCACCGACCTTTGCACTGGTGCTGCTCGTGACTCATCTTTGTAGCAGTAGCATAAGACCATATACTGAAAATGCAGGAAGTGAGCATGGGCGCGCTTCTGGCTCCATCGACTCTGGCTCCAATTCCTTTTTACTGAAAAAACATCACCCTTCTCTCTGGGCAATGCAGTCAGGTAGGGGTGTGCAAAAATATTCAAATATCGATATATCGTATCGTTCAATGTGATGATACAGTATCGATATCTGGGACTGCTGTATCGATATATCACCAAGAGTATTTTTTGGTATATTTTACTAAATTATTTTGTTACAGCTACAGTTTTGTTGCTTGTTTAGAGGAAGGAAACTCGTTTATGTGACACATTTGACATTTGAGGATTAAAATGTTTGTGTTTTATTTTAACTTTGCGCAAAAATGATTTTGCCTTTATTTTTATTGAACCATCTTGAATCGATTTGAAATATATCATACGGAATTGAAAGTGCACTGTATCGAGGTATGTATCGTATCGTGGCCTATGTATCGAGGTATGTATCGTATCGTGGCCTATGTATCGAGGTATGTATCGTATCGTGGCCTATGTATGGAGGTATGTATCGTATCCTATGTGTCGAGGTATGTACCGTGTTGTGGCCTATGTATCGAGGTATGTATCGTATCGTGGCCTATGTATGTCGAGGTATGTATCGTATCGTGGCCTATGTATGGAGGTATGTATCGTATTGTGGCCTATGTATGGAGGTATGTATCGTATCCTATGTGTCGAGGTATGTACCGTGTTGTGGCCTATGTATCGAGGTATGTATCGTGTCGTGGCCTATGTATCGTGGTATGTATCGTATCGTGGCCTATGTGTCGTGGTATGTATCATATTGTGTCCTATGTGTCGTGATATGTATCGTGCCGTGGCCTAGGTATCGAGGTATGTATCGTATCGTGGCCTATGTGTCGAGGTATGTATCGTATCGTGGCCTATGTGTCGAGGTATGTATCATATCGTGTCCTATGTGTCGAGGTATGTATCATATCGTGTCCTATGTGTCGTGGTATGTATCGTGCCGTGGCCTAGGTATCGAGGTATGTATCGTATCGTGTCCTATGTGTCGTGGTATGTATCGTGTCGTGGCCTAGGTATTGAGGTATGTATCGTGCCGTGGCCTAGGTATCGAGGTATGTATCGTATCGTGTCCTATGTGTCGTGGTATGTATCGTGTCGTGGCCTAGGTATTGAGGTATGTATCGTGCCGTGGCCTAGGTATCGAGGTATGTATCGTATCGTGTCCTATGTGTCGTGGTATGTATCGTGCCGTGGCCTAGGTATCGAGGTATGTATCATATCGTGGCCTATGTGTCGAGGTATGTATCATATCGTGGCCTATGTGTCGAGGTATGTATCGTGTCGTGGCCTATGTGTCGTGATATGTATCGTGCCGTGGCCTAGGTATCGAGGTATGTATCGTATCGTGGCCTATGTGTCGAGGTATGTATCGTATCGTGGCCTATGTGTCGAGGTATGTATCATATCGTGTCCTATGTGTCGTGGTATGTATCGTGCCGTGGCCTAGGTATCGAGGTATGTATCGTATCGTGTCCTATGTGTCGTGGTATGTATCGTGCCGTGGCCTAGGTATCGAGGTATGTATCGTGTCGTGGCCTATGTATCGAGGTATGTATCATATCGTGTCCTATGTGTCGTGGTATGTATCGTGTCGTGGCCTAGGTATTGAGGTATGTATCGTGCCGTGGCCTAGGTATCGAGGTATGTATCATATCGTGGCCTATGTGTCGAGGTATGTATCATATCGTGGCCTATGTGTCGTGGTATGTATCGTGCCGTGGCCTATGTGTCGAGGTATGTATCGTGTCGTGGCCTATGTGTCGTGATATGTATCGTGTCGTGGCCTAGGTATCGAGGTATGTATCGTATCGTGGCCTATGTGTCGAGGTATGTATCGTATCGGCAACGTCTTAATGATACCCAGTCCTACTGTCAGGCTCATAATTTTTGTTCTTAAAACATAACGTAACTCTCTCTGTATGATCCTGGGGTTTTTATTTCGCTATTTTGTCCGTAAATCAAGATATGCACTTGAATAACAGACAAATCAGGCGCCTTCTTCCCCCGACGTCACTCCCACTATTGTTAGCAACAGGTTTGATTGACAGCTATCACAGCAAGTGGTGCGAGGGGGAAGGGGCGTGCTACTGGTTGACTCTTTGGTTGCTATGATACACGGCATGCACTCGGAATTCCAAATATGGGTCTTAGTTCCAAATTTGCAGCAATAAGCTCTATTCATGCTTATGTCGCAAACCAGGAAGACGTGTGATGACAACTTCCTCTGGTCTCTGTTCGTGGTAGTAAGTCTGACAAAATGTAGGAAAAATGAGAAAAGTGCACTGGGTACATGTGATTAGAAGAGATGAGAGACAAATTCCATATAATTCCAAACAGCACATACGTCTGCAGTCTTCATTTTACCTCTGATCACATTTACTTCAGTGGGTTTGATCACAGTCGGTCGGTGAGTCCAGTGTCGAGAACTACACCAGAAGTCGTCATCACATGTTTCCAAACGTCTTCCTGGTTTGTGACGTAAGCGTGACTAAAAGGCCTAATAGCTATAACTACTAGCCAGAATAAGCTTCATTTGGCTGCAGCCGAACGCTATGGGTGATGTTACACTGTTCAGTCTCCGTATACAGTTCATTCTGTGCAGGAGTATTAACGTGGAGAACCTCATACTAAGTGTGTGTACTAAGATAAGAGTACCATATTTTCCACACTATAGGGCGCTCTGGATGACTGTATTTTCCTGGATATTAGACGCGCTCTTAAGCCTCCCACCCCATCAAAAAATGCAATCCAGTGCGCCGTATACACGAATCCACTCGGGTGTCCCAGCACGACTTCAGTAAACTACAAAGCCGCACCACCCGCAGCACACGCAAACACACACGGAGCAGACAGCGACCACACAGAGAAACACACCCACAGACACACTCATCACTCCACGCCGACGAGGAACAGAATGGAGGAATGAACCGATAAAGCGAGTGCAATGTGCCACTTCTAGACACAACTGAAACAGACCATTCAGTGACAGTGTGCCTTATAATCCAGAGCGCCTAATAGCCCGGAAAATACGGTATAAGGCGCACTGTCAAAGAATGGTCTATTTTCGAACTTTTTTCACAAATAAACCACACTGGACTTTAAAGGAAACCCAACAGTGTGATGGGTGAGTGGTTTTGTTTGTTTGTGCCGTTCACGGTGACTCTGGGCTTTGTTCAGTTGTGGCGTGTAGGGAGGGTGCTGTCTGGGACGCTGGATTGTCGGCGTGTTCGCAGTGACTCAGTTGTTCAGTTGTGTCTAGAAGTGGCACATTGCACTCGCTTTTTCGGTTTGTTCCTCCGTTCCGTTCCTCGTCGGCGTGGAGTGATGAGTGTGTCTGTGGGTGTGTTTCGCTGTGCGGTCGCTGTCTGCTCCGAGTGTTTGCGTGTGCTGCAGCTTTGTAGTTTACTGAAGTCGTGCTGGGACACCTGAGTGGATTCGTGTATAGGCGCTCTGGATTGTGGGACGCGCAGTCGTTTTTTGATTGGGTTGGAGGTTTTATGAGCGCGCCCTTTAGTGCAGAAAATACAGTAACTATTGAGTTCTACCATTATCATTGTGGAAGGCCACAGGACATAGTGAACTGCTGGAGCTCTTGTTGGTGTCTCTGTTCGTTAAACTGGTGTCAGCTGTGAAGAACACCATGCAACTACAGCCAAAAGCCTGCTCTGAAGCCCGGGCCTCACTATACAAGTCCAGTGCCCTCCTCATAAACCGTCAGAGCACAGACTGACTGTGACATCTGTTTAAGTTTAGTCAGCCTAAAAGTGTAGGTCTACGACATGCAGAGTCAACTGAGTTCTGAAGAGAATAGAGTTGAAAGACAGTACAGATCTTTGAATTCTAGTAAAAGTGAAAGTAAATTATAATATTACAGATGTAACAGTTGAGAGAAATGAAAGATGGAAATTAATTAGAATTGTGAGTAAGAGACACGATGGCTCCGTCTGCTGGTTATAGAGCGTACTGCAGAAGAATCAGTGGTGAAACGTAACAAAGTACAAGTAGTAAAGTACTCCAAAAAATGTAGGTATCTGTACTTGACTTAGTTAGATTTATAAAGTGGATATTTGTTTACTTTTACTTCACTACATTTGAGAGCAGATATCTGTACATTCTACTCCACTACATTTTTGAATCATATTGAGAAGTAAAAGTATAATAAAAGTACTATACTTTATATAGTACTATACTATATACAGTTTTTATTATAGTTTGAGACCTGCTGAAAAGGCTGAGGAGGGTTTATTTTTAAAACAAAAATATACAAATAAAAACAGCTTAAAAAAAGAAATACTTTTAGTTTTAATTCTTTAAGTAAGTTATTGGGGATCATAGGCAATGCAGAAATGAATTCTAAAGTACCCATATTACACTTTTGTCTGATATCTGTTATAAGGTAGTTTCCTCATCACAAACAGACCTGGAATTGTCTCTCAGAAAACACTCCACCTTGTGATGTCATATAGAAAGTGCTCCACTGTGTTTTTAAACTCCTTCACTAGAATCATTTGGATAGTTTCATCCCTGGAAAAGTACCACATGTTGGAACAGAGCATTTTGAGCTTTGGAGACACAGACAGACTAATAATAAAGGATTAATGAAACGTGTGAATGAAACAAAACACAACTCCAGGTCTGTTTTTGAGGAGGGAGCAACATTGTAACATGGCTTAAAGCTCACAGGAGCTGATTGTGTGTAACAAAGGAGCTTTAGTGAACTGTCTAAAAACTAGACTAACAGATTTGAAAAGGCATCACAAATCCTTCTCCATCAGTCCAAACACACAGATGGATGGTCATTTTCAGTCAGACGGTTGAAGACATAAGACTGGATAACACACTCGAGTCCATGTTGTGCTCGGTGCTTTGAGGCCCCGGCGCGTGGGGGGAGGGGCCTGTCTGTGTGTCTGATGTGTGACTGTTTTAGGTATTAGTCAAAAGCCCCGGCTGCAGCTCCCCAGGATTCCCCCGCTCATGTGATAGTCCTGAACACAGCTGCTGCGAGCAAACAGAGGGTCCCTGCCAAACGCGTCAGCCTCATGATGTCAGCAGCACGCTATAAATAGACCAGGAGAAGAGGGAGAGGAGGAGGAGAGAGGCGTTGTGGTGGGTGTGTGGCGGAGAGGAAAAGAGGTAGGGAAAAAAGTGAGGAAAGGGAGACAGCGAGAGGACTGAGGGAGAGAGGGAGAGAGAGGAGAGAAAGGAGAAAAAGGAGTGGGAGAGAGGAGAAGGAGGCGAGGGGTCTACACTGCTGCGTTCAGATGGGGGACTCTGGAGGAGGGTGTGTCCTACATGTGCCTGTGACGTCAAAACTAAAAATAGCATGTGGGGGGTGGGGAGCAGAGGGGTGACACGAGGTGAGGTGGTCTCTAGCAATTTCTAGTATTGCACAAATACTCACAGCAAATACATGGGAGTTTTGAAGCACATTATAAAGAGAACACATGATGCACCATTAGCCATGAGTAAAGATGTCATTCCTCTTATTATTTATCCCTTTATAAGCCTGTCTAACAGAGCTAACTCTAAACTGTAGTGTGCTCTGCTCACCTCCCCTCTTGGAGGAGCGGGACGACCTGGAGGAAGTGGACCACTGCTTGGTCAGGACTCCTCTGGGCTGCAGCGTGTCCCCAGAGCTGACCACCACCTCCTCGGCCTCGATGCTGCTGATGGCCTCCTTGGCCTCGAGCTCCTTGTCTGGAGACGTGGCTCCTCCGTTGGCCTCCGTGGCCTCCTCCACCTGACAGAACTGGGCCATCTTCCGGGCCAGGGCCAACTGTGTCTCCAGCTCCAGCTGCCGGATGTCCTCCATGGTCAGGCCGTACCACTCGTCCTGCCAGCACCAGGCCTGCCGGTGGGCACGCACCATCACTTTACGCAGGCCTACACAAGCATCACATACTCATGTTGAACTACTAATACTAGAGTAATACTTGTAGTAGTGAGAGAGGCACGGCTCTTACCCACATCATGGATGAAGCGCTCGATCTTGGACTGCATACCCCAGTACCTGAACTCCACCTTACACAGTTTGTAGGCACACATGATGGGCGTCTTCCCGGGGTTGTTGTTGTACTCTTCGATCCAGTCGTCCCTCAGGGGCCCCCTCTGGGTCTTAGCAGACTTATAGAGCCGGGGGTCCTCCTCCACTTTGTACTCATGAGCTGCGATGGGGTCTGTCACTATGTCTATGGGATCTGAGGACAATCAGGAGAACAAAGTATATTTGCATTTATAGCAGACAGCTGTGTATAGCAGAGCACAGTTCAAAGCTGTCACGAGAAAGTACAGAAGAATTCCAGAGCATGGTTAGCCCCGTATCAGACTGCACGCACTGATTCATAACACGAGGGCCTCTGAATGTGGGTCAGCACAGGCCCTGGAAACATGACTCTGAGCAGCTTCACATGAACATGTCAACCCACAGCACACAGCTGCACTACACACTACGATCACTAGAGTGCTGCAGCGCTGGAGGAAAAGTTACACAGCTGCCCTAGACTGTCTCCATGGAAACTAACTTTTATTAGTGGTGTGAGGCATAAGTGACCATAATGTTGAAGTCAGCATCAGTTGAACACACTGGTGTTGTTCTGAGGATACTGTATATCCTGTAACTCCAGTCTCTAGAGAACATACAGTATAAGATGTGGAACACATAACATGGTTTATCTGATGGGAAAAATTACATTGCTGCTTCACTGCTTCATATTGAAGCAGTGAAGTGGAAAGTATTCATAAATAATTGTATTTCAGAATTAGCCTGTATAGAAATAGAAATAAAAAGTATAAGAGGAGTCAGTGACTTTGATTGTGAATGAAAAGTAGTGTGTAAAAAAAGTGCAGGCCTGTGAAGAACTGCAGGAGACAGGCCCTTAGAGCTAACCTCCTCCTGATCCAGTCAGAGATCTGATACAGATCCATGTCCTATCACAGACTCATCTTACTGAGAGTATATTTTGTATGTAGACTGAAACACTGCATTGTGATGTTAAGTCACACTGTGCTGTGTAGTCCTGAGCACAGCCCCTCCCCTCTCACCGATACTCCTCTGTCTCTTCTCAACCGCAGACATGTTGAACACATCGGCCTGGTTGCCTGTGTCTGGTTTGTAGTACGTCTCAATGTCAATGGAAAACTTCTCCACAAACGGACAGGTGTATCTGGAAAGAGAACAATGTGACATTTCATTCATACAGTAAAAAGAACAAAGGAAGAACAAAGAACAAACAATGGAAAAAGCATGTGTGTGCTTCTGACCTGGTGCGTGTGTAGGGGTAGGCGTTCCAGGACTCCTCCTCCACCCGCAGCGCCGCTTTGGGCAGGATGGAGCGGAACCAGCTGGGGATGTGCATGCCAATGTGGTAGACCTTGTGTGTGTACTGGCCCACGCCCCCTGGTCCATCTGTGTAGGGCTTATTCTCCAGGATCTCAACCCCACTGCCCTCACCACAGCTCTCCTCTCGGCTCTTCTTCTGCACCACCCAGAGAGAGAAGACACAAATCAGTATACAGGCGAGATTTGGAACCACACTAACATTTCCATCCTGATGTCAACACCCAGGATAAAACTCAATAGTCCCCTCTAAGTGTATATGTACAGCACAGTGCTGCATTACACAAAGGTTTGGACACTTTGTTTTTATTTGAAGAAACTGTATGTAGCCTATGCTCATACAGTTAAAAACAATAGTTACTACATTCAACAACTGAACCTGTGTTTCCAGAACCTTAACCTGCAGATCAAGACACATCCAGTTTGTCTCAATTTCAGTATAAATCAATCAGCAACAACTTTATTAATCCCAAAAGGGCAATTCAGTTCGCACATCTCTGGTCGTGCATAATCCATAAATAAATAAAATTTAAAAATCGAACACATACGACACATACAGACGTCATACATTCAAACCTCAGTGCATCAGGGACACAATAGCAAATTTACTTTCAATTTAAAATCTTTATGGCAGAAGGAATAAAAGATTTAGTGTAGTGATTGGTCTATTGCCTCAAAGAGGGCATTTGCACAAACTGTGAGCACAGTACATGGTTAGGTTGGCTCAGTTTGGCCTTAGTCTCCACACACAGGCCAGATCTTTCATCTGAACCGCACACTTCTACTATCTGGTTCAGACTGTTCTTGTCCTTCACAGATAACCCATAAAACCAACAAATAAAAGAAAACATCAACAAACGTTTGATAAAGTAATGATAAAAATGATTTAAAATGTTAGATGACACATTAAACGAGCTGAGCTTCCACATCAAGTGAACCCGTTGCTGTCCTCGTTTGTTCTTATCAAACCTTAGGGAGAAATCAAACAGTCCCCAAGGACTTAAAAGAGTTCTCCATTTCTACTCCTTCCCCATGGATAAAGCTGGCTATTGGACTGTGAACTTTCTTCTGAAAGTCCATAACAATTTCTTTGGTTTTAGCCACATTTAAGTCCAAATGGTTATTATCACACAAAGCAGGCAGAGCTTGGCCATGGTCTGAGTTGCTGCCTGCAAACATGGACAGGCCATGCCTCATGTGAAAGTTCAGAACCTTCAGGATTCCCTCCCTGAGCTGGAGAGGCTGCACTAGCACTGACTCAAGGTTGACTGCAGGTGCTGGACCATTCAGATCAGAGAAAAGCACTTTAGGTTTGAACCAAGTGTATTTCTGCATTAAAACTGGCAACACAAATGAGAGACTCATGTGAGGCTCACATATTCAGTGTTTCCAGAATTAAGACTAAATCAGCATTACAATTATCACAGAGATAAGTCATTTTTATCAAACATAAAATCCGATTCTTAGACACAGTTTCTTTAAGTCTTATCATATGGGCCTTACATTTCCTAACCCTACAGAACATAGTCCGTGCTGACGATACAAGTCAGAGGGCAAAGACCAGACACCATAAACACTTAGAGATTTACTGGCAAATCACATTCTGTTACTCATCTACAACATGGCTCCTCTTCCAGACTCAGAGGGTCTGTCAGAAAGGGAGGGCTGAGGACAGGAGGAGAGGAGGAAGACGAGATTTATGTAGTGACCGTTCAGATCAGAAAGAGTCCTTTTAGGTTTAAACCAACTGGATTTCAGCGGTGAAACTGGCAACACAAATGAGAGAAGTAGAGGAGGAAGAGGAGGATGTCTCAGAGTCTTTAGGCTGACAGCTCCTTCATTAGCCCGTCAGCGCTCAACACAAGGCCTCTCCACACAGACACAGAGCAGACGCAGCCCCAGACCATTGTCCAGTCCAGACCCCCACACAGGACACACACGGGGGGCAGGAGATCAGCGCGCTCTGACGGAATGATGTGGAAAGAACCGTTTTGTATTACAATAACAAAATTACTGCTTTATTTTAGCACACTTTGACAAAATAAGTGTAGAGTTATACTGTGCAGCCCAAGCAGACAGGCCACTGAAGCCATGTTAACATGTTGTTACCTCCTCAAAAACACACTGTGAGTTGTGTTGTGTTACATTCACACATTTCAGTAACCCTTTACTATTAGTGTGTCTATATCTCCAAAGCTCAATAGGCTCTGTTCCACCTTGTGATGTCATGAAGTGGTAGTTTTCAAGTGAACAGTTCCTTTAGTTCAATAGAGATAGGCAGAAATTCCAGGACTGAAATGATCCAAAATGATTCTAGTGAAGGCGTATGTACTTTAAAAACACAATGGAGCACTTCCGGTACAACACATGACATCACAAGGTGGAACAGAGTGTTTTCAGTCTAAGAAGAACACAGTCTAAATGTGCAGGGTTTTTGTGTTAAACATGAGTGAATGAAACATAGATCAGAGAGTGACATAATATGAGCCTTTTCATATCAGAACATAATTGTCATTTGAAGTCACTTCTTCAGCTCACTAGTTTCAGAAGAAGTGGTTGTACCTCATTTTAGTTTTAGTCCAGTGCAAATAGAGTATATTGTAAATGCAGATGTTGGGGTCAAAATAAGACTGTTGTGTACTGTCTGCATCTACAGGCCTGGTTCCACTGCACATCAGAGCGGCTCCACAGGCAGGACATACCAGCAGCACTCACTCTGTGTTTATCAATGGGAAAGACGATCAAACTTGACTGGGCGCGTTTAGTCACTTGTATCAGGTCCACAGTGAAACTAACAGCTGAACAGACTTGTATTTACCCTCTGTACAGACTGCCCACAGCAAACGCCAGGATTTCAAAAGTAAATTTCAAAGCACAAATGAACAGTGTTTCTGGAGCTGGGCTCTTTCACACGACACAGATCTGCCCCAGGAACACGTTGTACTGATGGTGAACGCACAAATACAACCAAAGATGCATGCTCTCTGTCTATTTTGATGAGGATATGCGCCTATGCACACGTAGAGCGTCAAAAAATAGGATGGATCCTATTTTCTGAATTCTACACACGCAGGACGTGCTGCTCCAGACGTGCGTCTACGCAGTGGAGCTGCCCTCATTACTTTCAATGCATTCTAAAAATTGTGCATCCAAAAGTTGCAGTTTTTTGCGTAGAGCAAAATATGTGTGCAGTGGAGCCAGGCCCTAAATACAAAGTGTTTTTAGTTTTAGCATGCTAGTTAATTTTAATTATTATAAAATGAATTAGCATGCTAGTGAAAATCTATTAGCGTATGGATAGAGGCCAAAATGAAATAGTGAATTCATGTTTAAAAGCTGTGTGTCTGAGCCTGCTCCAGTCCTTCAGGTGACGGCCGCCTCAGCAGTGATCTATCAGAGAAAAGAGGAAGTGATAAGACAAACCCCGATAACGACCCGCACATGTATGAACAGGTGAAAACAACACACGTATGAAAAGGTGTGTACAGGGAGGGGCTTTATCTCAGGAAAAGACAAATGACAAATATGAAGCCAGAGTCATGCCACGTTACAGAGGGCAAGGACAATGTGTTTACAGTAGTTCATAGCAGACCTATTGTGAAAAACGGACTTTTAACCATGTTATATTGGCTTGCCCTCATCATTTACCCTCTCCAAGTTGTAATTAGTGTAACTCGTGCATGTTTGAGTCATCTTTAATCTTATTTTCAAGACACCATTTTGCTGATCAACTTCCGTTTTCACCGCCATCAGAACATGGTCACTGCTCTGTGCTTACTTCGTTCTCCAATTTTAGTTTCTTTATAGGTCATTCAGCAGCAGCGCATCATTTTTGTTCAAATGAAAAAAATGGTCTGCTCGCTCGTGTGATGTGCAGCTTTGTTATGATAATGTTTATGTCAGCTCCCATTAGGCACCACAGTTTCCCAACACACAAGTCAGTGGACTTGTTTCATTTATTAAGTCGTAATAGATGAGTACTGTGATTTAAAATGTGCAACTTATAACATAATGATCCACGGGTGTAAGAGATCATAGAAATATAGTGAGCACAGGCAAACATGTCTGCTTTAACACATTACATTTTTGGGAGTTGTTATGAATGTTCAGTGTCAGATATGAGCTGAAAACATCCAAATGGGGCGGGGCCTGTTTGGTTAATAATGTCTGAATGCAGTTGGCATTGAATAGCAGCCACACCTCCTGTCCTTCTGCCCCAAGTCACCTACAGACAGTGTCTTCACCGGAGTGTGAAGTGTGCCTGAAGAGTGACTGAAAATCCACAGCTGACATCAGTGTGCGGAGTTCAGTGCAGACAGGAAGCTGATGTGGTCACTTCCTGTATGAGTCAGATGTACTTCCTGGTCTCAGTGCGGTCACAAGTGCTTACTCACCACAGCCCGTCACTCCATCAGCTCACAGTTCAGTGGACAGGGCCTGCTGTAGCAGGAGGGGTCCATACAGAGTTTTTGGAACAGATAATACCTGATATTTGACTAACCTGGCTGAGAAACTACACAGCTGAGCTGCAAGTCAGTCTGTGTAATGTTGGCCTACGACTTATCAGAAGTATAATGCTCCCTACAACAGAAGCATAGCCAGAGTGGACAGGACTGCACTAGACTGGATGGACAACCCTGTCTCTGGGGTCCGGGCCATACACTTCTAAATGCACTCGTACGTCTTCTCTTCAAACCTCAGACTTCTACAATATACTCTACAACACTGGCTAAGCCCAGATGAACATGTGCAGCACTCTGAGCTCAACACAAGCAATTCTTCAAGCTGACTGGTCAAAGCATCACAACAGTGAGTTTGTGAACTCACAAATATTGTGAGAGTTCATCTTGTTGGCCACGTTCCAGGAAAACTGTAGTAGCCTAAAACAATATTGGTGCCAAATATATGACCTAAATGAAAGATACCAGAACTAAAGGGCCCAACATGACCGAACATCATGTAACATTTACTAACCATGGTCTGGCAGCGTCTTTGTGGATATACAAGTTTTACACTTTGTACCATTTGGGCAAAGCAGTAACATCAGTATGAAGACTAGCAGGTGCTCGACCTCACAGCAAAAAAGTGACATGTTCCACCTTTAACGCAGCAAAGCTGCCATGTACACTCACTGAGGAT